TAAACCATCTCTCTCCTTTCCTCATCAATTTTTATCGACAGCGGAATTGTTTGACAGCGGCGGAGCTTGAGCGTTTTCCGCCGTTGTCCGTCGACCATCCCGGGAAGTATGTGCGGGAGAATGAGGTCAACACTGATGCAGAGGAGTCACCGACTTCTACTCCGTCAAGGCGGAGGGACGAAGGGAGGAACACTCCTGCAGCACGAGTGCCGCGGAAGCGGCGATGGAGAGAGGAGTCCGAAGAGGAGCAGCATCAAGAACCCTATGCTCCCATTCGACCGCGGCCGTTGTACGAGTCATACAGCCGGCCGAAGCAGAAGGCACGCAGACTGGTGTTACCAGCCAACAGTGCGGACACGGCGACGATTGCGACGGAGAAAGGAAGTGCGTCGATAGAGAAGAATGAGGAAGCGCGGACGTCCGCAGGAGCAACGGACCACGCTGCAGCCTCGACGGGCGAGAGTCCGCCTACGGGCCAAGGGCCTCCGGAGTTACCACGTGCGTTGCGGACAGGTGTTCCGTTTGCGCACAGGCGAGCCTCCGCGGACGGACGAGCCTCCGCGGACAGACGAGACTCCGCGGACGGACGATCACAAGCGGACGTAGATCTACGCCTACGCGTGGGAAGAAGCAGTCCGCCTGTGCACAGGTCACCTCCACACGTGCCGCCTGTGCACAGGCAGGAATCACCCCCGTTCCAACGTAGAAAGGGGAAGGAGCCGGCGGAAGAGCCGCCTACGAGACACCGGCCTTCGGGGCCAGACCCTCCGGCGCACAACGCGCCGCGATTTGCGCCTTCGGCGCCAGGGCCTTCGAGCCGAGGAGATACGAGCAGGGAGTGTGCGGAGGCCGCACCATCGGCGGGTAATCCGCCGGTAGATGCGCCTTCGGCGGTAGGGCCTCAGGGCCAAGGGACATCAGGCGAGCGGCCCCCGGCCATGTCGCCTTTGGCGATGGACGTCCGCGGTGCTACGCCTGCGGCGGACAAGGCGCCGGCATTTGCGCCTGCGCACAGGCCAAGCACAGCCCCCGGGGGCCGATCAAGGGAGCAGCAACTGGCGGAGGAGCGGAGTGACTGTCCGCGGGATGAATTTTCGGTGCGCGATGCGCAATCAAACCCCGCGCAGCCACCCTCCGCTCGATCGCCTTCGGCGGCGGACGTCGGCGGTAGAGAGGATACGGTAGACGATCAACAAGCGGGCGGCGGGGATGCAGCACGGGCACATTCGCCTACCGCCTTAGACATTTTGGCGAAGAGCAGCGAGGCTGCAGCCGTGCCTTCGCAGGCAGCACACGTCGACGACGTGCAGCCCCACTCGGGTCAGTCGCCGACGCAATCAATGGCGACTGAAATTCTCCACTCGGATGATGACGACGGAGGCTCCACCGAAGAAATGTCAGGAGCAGGGGACACCGAGGAGGAGGAGGAGGAAATTGTTGGAGCGCCGGCGGCGGCGCTCTCTGAGCAGGTGATTCCGTTGCTGAGGTACTTGGATCGCAAAGTCGATAAATACGCCGACCCACTTCAGCCGGGATCTTACATCGAGTTAGTGCGCAGGCGGACTCGCACTAAAGTCCACACCAGCAAGCTACTAGCTAGAGTGGACCAGGAGTTGAGGGAATTGAAGGAGAAGCATGAATGCTTGTGGGGTCAGTATAAACTCAATCAGAAATTCTACAAGTACTCCGAGAAGGTGAGGGATGGGAAACTGGAAGAGCTCACCAAGGAGCAGGTGAAGGTCACAGAAGCACTAATTTCTGAGCAGGCCCAGAATCGGATTTTGTCAGAGGAGCTCGTGCGACAGACGCGGTTGTTAGAACAGTGTCAGCTCGCACGACAGGCGGATGAGGAGGTAATCCGCAGGCTACAGTCAGAGTGTGGCGAATTGAGAGCGCAACGTGCTGAGGCCGAATCGCAATTAGTGGTAATTGAAGAGGATCGCAGGAGTCGGCGGAAGGTAGCAAAGAAGCTCGATGCTTTTCTGTCGAAGGCGCGGGATACCATGTCCGCCCTCGAAGTGGAGGTGTCCGCGGCGTTGCAGCGATTGGGACTGCGCAGTCGAGCAGAAGACTGGCAGGGTAGGGAGTTAGTGCGCGGCAGTCCGTCGCGCAGGAGACGTAGCACAGGTTCCGCGGAGTGTAGTGTAGCGTGGTTCCATGCAGGCGTGTAGCGTAGTGTAGCGTAGTGCAGTGTAGTGCTAGTTAGGATTTAGAAGGTATAAAATAGTTCCATGCGTTTTGCCTGGGGTTCTTTCCCAAACTCAGAAGTACAGATCAGGAACCCATTTCCTTTGCGTGTTTGTGTCCTTGAGTTCTGTCACCACGCACGAGGAGTTACAACTTAGCGTTCCGCATTTTGTAGCTGAAGGCCTGCGGCCGAATGTTCAGAGCTAGTACATTGGTTAGAGACTTGAGTAGTTCGGATCTGCACCTGCGGGTGACGGTCGATGCTCAGAGCCAGTGACTAGTTAGATACTTGAACAGTTTCGCCCCTACCCCTTCGAGTGTTTCTTTCTGATTGTACTCCTTTGGGATTTTTCCCTTGAATGCCAAAGTGAAGTTTTGTTACTTCGTGTAAGCCTTGGTTGCAAATTCAGGTTACGCTGCAGCAGGTGCTTTGAGGGTAACCCCTGTAGTATTTCTGGGAATGACAAGTGCCTGAGAATTCAAACTCTTCAATAGACTGTTGTTGTGTTACTGGAATGTTTCTCCGTGAGTCCTTAAGTGCGGACCTGTGTTCTCTGCGCGTTTTGTGAGTTGAGAGTGTTGTTCACCGCGTCTGAGTGACTTCGATCCGAAGTAGGCAGTCCAAACCGGGTTTCCTACGCTAGCAGCAAGCTAGCGGAAGTGTTGTAAAAGCCGGAGTTGGGAGTCACTACCCGCAGCTTCGCTGAGTGTACTCTCGAGAGACTTTCCCCCCCTGAAATCTTGAGTAGAGGTCCTAACGGATCTCTGGGTTGTGTTTCTGTAGTTTCAGGTGTGTGTGTGTGTGTGTGTGTGTTACGCTGCACTGTGCGACCTCCGAGTGCGCTCCGAGTGGACACTTGCAGTATTTCTGGGAGTGACAGTTGCCTGAGAAATCAAACTCCTCAATAGTCTGTTAAAACGTGACACTTTGTACCCTGTGTGTTCCTCTGTCCCTGTGGGTTTGACCTTTCTACCACTATATTGCAGTTTTAGCCTTTAGTGGGTTATTACACTGACCCTCAATTATTGCTATTAGGAAGTTGGGATGATAAGAACCGCCGCTGCCACATTATGAAAGAGAAACCCAACAAAAGTCCACGAAACTGCAATGCTTTGCACTTCCCGATGAACTGCTTTTTAACAATTTCGTCTCCACTAAGCATATGTAATAAATAAATACAGATAGGATAAGCTTACCCGTCAAGGCGCCACATACAACAAAAAAAAGGAGTACGAGCGGTGCATATTGATAGCATAATGTTTATGCAAAAATATATATGTTGGTACGGTATGCACTATCTTTTTAACATGCCCGAGCCAGAATTCATAATTCAGAGGAGAAAGTGATCACTCTGCATAGATAAAAAAATTCGATAATATTATATATGTATATATATATATATATATATCCAGAACTTTGATTTCGAATCTCATGGGCGTATGGGTTGGATTTAGAACTGCTTCAAAGTCCACGGGCAAAGGGTTGATAAAGATTAGCGTTAACCAGCCCAGAAATGCTCTTGAATCAGAGTTTCAATTTGCATCCTGGTGTTTTTGAAGGCTCAACTCACTGTGGAAAACGACTACCTGGATGACTTTATCTCATATCTTTCATCAGATATCCAGTAGAGCTTCCAAGGGTCTGGTAAGAGGATATTCCCCCGTTGCGTGGGGCTTGTTATGGCCCCTTGGATTGGATTCTTATCTGCTATCTTCTTATCGGCACCACCCCAACAAGGAATATGCTTTGCACAGTTTCTGGGTAGCAAAGGTACAGCTCCCATTTCACGATTGTCTTTAAGCGGGATACACTGATGACAGTAATCTTGCAGACTCATAGGCTCCCGTGCCACCAGTGATGCCCAGATCTTCAGCAGGAGGAATATTGGTACCCGTGGAAAGGTTGAAAATACCTGAATATGATATGGTCCCATTCCGTCCGTTCATCGTCAGGTCCAAGACTCCAGTTGATTGAATCCAGGCTTGATCATCCTGCGTATCTCCCGTGACGCATATGACCCTCTGCGTGCCGACAATTTGTAATTGTTTCGAAGCAGTCAGTCTGATAGGCTGGTTGCCCACAGTGACTATAGGGATCCCGACTGGATGTGGTGGTAGGATACCTGGTGGATATATTGTCACTGCAGTTGCGTTAGCTGCGGGAGGATTGGTCTGGAATGTGTAGATTGTCACATCTGGAGCACGCAGAGCAGCATCTGCAGTAAGCAAACTAGAGGTGCATAGAATCAGGAATAAGGTGTTGAGAATGGCAGAGCTACTGTATGGAGCCATATTCCGTTGAGTAGGCACCAGGAGATAAAACACGTGTCAATGTATGACGAGAACGACTACAAATGTTGATTACAGGAGAAGAATCTCTACGCAGAGGCAGCAGTGTGAGTTGGAACGGAGCTTTCAGTAGTCTTTATATGAATTGTGGGGTGCCGAAGGACGCGGATTAAGGCAATATATCTCCATCTCAAGAAATGGATGTTGATTGACTTTATAATCAATAAGTCAATAATCTCGCAACCCCATGTTCGAACCTGGTTACGCTTTCTGCTAGCTCGCATATAAAGTGCAATAATTTAACAATTTTCAACTTCAAACATAAAAGTTGATTAAAATGATTTTAATATGCTCGTTGATGCAATGAAATAAAAAAATAATTCATTTTATTTTTCAATGTCTTGATAATTAACAGATTATAAAATATTTGAACCTGTGATATTAAGAAACTATGATAAAAATATTTTGATTAAGTAATGTACAAAAATAGGTTTTAGGTTATCATATCTTACAATCACTAGGAGACTTGATACACAATTTTTAATATGAAATTGTGTCACAAGGACCAGATGTCACGATAACGGTGTACGTCATTCAAAAATTTATCGAAGATTATGGAAAGACATACATTGTCAAATCTAGCCAAAAAGTGAATCCACCATAAACCTCTGTTCCTCGCGTTGTTGCATCGAGCCAAAAATATGGAGAAGCAAATGACATCAAATGAGCCTAATAGGATATGCAAGCCTTGTATGAGTTTTAAACTAACTTCCGGAAGTACATATGCTTGCCCGACTAAACAGAATCTAATCCTACTGAGAAAGATTATATTCCGACTGATAAAGCTCACAAACTTCGTCCGGGAAAACAACTCCATGCTTGTTGTATCTGCATCACAGCAGCGAAACGGCAGACAAGTCCGGATCATTTCTAGCAGCCATGAGACCTTCAGGCACTCGCCCTACTCTCTTTGATCATCACCGTGAAAGCCGTTTGGTTTGGCATCAGCTTCGAGCAGCTCGTTGAGGTTGATCTCAACTTCGTGATCGCGGCCGACGAAGTCAGGAACATAGATGTGGCAAGTGACATGGAACACGGTTTGCGGATCTTTCTGCACTTTCTCGTACTTGACAAAACCCGTGGCGCCTCTGAATTGGCCCTGTCCACCCACGATGCCCAGCTCCTGTTTGTCAAGATCAGCTTGACCGTCTGGAGTCATGAACCACGAGCCTCGCAGGCTGATCGAGCTGCCTCCCCACGGTCGGACCAAGCCTTCGGAGAAGGTAATTGTCACCACATCCTCGATCACGTCCTCTGTATGGTAGAAGTACAACCCACCAACGTGCCCGTAAACTTTTGTTTTGTCCCTTGAGGAGTAGAGGAGATTGTTCTTGACGTAGCCTATTCCTTTGTTCGGAACCGGATCAGCTGCCAAGGGCTTGAACACTTCTGTGTCGCCGGCCGGTATGAACTCATAGTAGCTCATGACATACTTGCAGTACGATGCATTCACTTTTGAATTACTCCTCAACGACATGTGATCCATCGCTCTAGAGCGCTGATCTTGAACCAGATTATCTGCGAGCACGTCGCACGTAGAATCTGTCAGAAATCTGTGTTAATGACCAAACCTCCTCTTTTAAGCGCACTCTGCAACGAACGGACATCAGCAGCAGTTAACAATGGAGTTCCACATGTTGATCTTACCTCTTGAACCTCGAAGCTCCTTCCCAGTATCTTAGATATTCGTGCTGGCCTTGGTAGTGATGCATGAGTTCGCGTTCGCGTTTATATAGGGAGAGGACCTTCGGACGAACAAGTCCCTCCCTGCTAGGAAAGAGCTCAGGTTAGTTCCCAGGAATAGCTTTGCAGTTATTTCGAGAAAAAGAAAGCATGTGATGAGTGAGGACATAAACGAGGGCGGCCATGGGCATGCCTGAGCTGAACTGAACGTTGACAGGGCTTTAAAGCATGCAATATTATGGGGTACGTACGAGTTTTCAACAAAAGCGTAACAAATAACGCTGACACCTGGGAGCTCTGTTTTCTACAAGTTTTGGATCAGATCAATTAGACAGTCTAGACTCGTGTTGCAGAAAATTATTCTCGTGTCTAGAAAGTTTGATAGCCTCCTTGGCAAAGTAGGTGATAATCCTTGTGCATCTTCCAATACATATTAAAATAAATTAGAGTATTCATATAAGTAATTACATATATTCTTGATGAGTTTTATATAATTGGAAAAATCGAATAATTATTTATACATGATATTGTTGATATATATGATGATGCATAGATTAGGGTAATCGTCAATCTAACTGACTCAGCACTTGCGGATTTCTTTCATAAGAAAAACTTCATGGAGTATTATATGATACACTGGTCATATAGAATACTCTTGTGACACAACAATTGATAATATAATTTCATTCTAAATGGGAGGATATAAATGTTGTAGAAATGATATCAGCTTTTTTACATCAAACTGAAACGAGTAACCAAATTAACAGGAGACCAGGTTGCGAACTTGAACATGTAGAAGATCAAAATTATAGCTTGCCTTTTGTCATTCGTCAAAGACGAACGTCGTTGCATTCACTGGGACATTTAAGCTTGCACTTTAAAGTATGCCTTCTTTTACTAGACAGCCATACAGAGATAGATAGATATCGCCATCCATCCAGCTTCATACAAGAGAACATATCCAAAATTTGATCCACATTCTCTTTTGTAAGTTGCATGTCATGATGCAGGTTTACATATATTTGAATTTTTTTTCAGAATTTACGGGACAACCATTCAAAGAGTAGATGTCGAGCCTAGATAAGTCAACTCTAGTCACTAGTTATGCATCTGTGATACCATGATAAAAAAATCATCACTTACAATAAAGTTGTTGCTGCTTTATTGACCAAACCATGATAAGAAAATCATCACTTACAATGAAGTTGTTGCTGCTTTATTGACCAAAAAAACATGCAACAGCAGATGTTGGTGTTTGTGCATCCCTCGTTCGGTCAATCCCCCTCATTGTCTATTGCCTTGACAGTCTCTCGTGGTAGTACGTCTACTAGAGAAAAAGGAAATGGAAAGATCATGATCAAGTCTAGATGCAAATCTAAGTCTAGATATGATAGGAACATCAAGTGTTGAAAATGTGACAAATTTGGTCACATCCACAAAGATTGTCGTACTAAGGCAAACGGTAAATACTTGGCAAGCGTGGATGAAATTGAGAATTTCACCTATGCCCTTTTTTTTCCTATCCATGTTAGAAAAATGAATGTATTTTAGTTTGCTCTTACCACATTTGTCATGTTAGGAAGTTCTTTAGTTCTTACACTACGTCAACCGATACAATTCTTATGGCAAATTATTAGCCTTGCAAAATTGTTTAAATAGAATTTGTGAAGATTAAATATTTGATGGGGTGATCAATACCTTGATCGACTTTATGGCCTGATTGGTCCGCCGCTGAGACGAGACAATGTCTCGACATCCAAAATCTCTATGGTGGATTAGTACAATCGAGAGCTAGGCTCCTTAACCGCCAAGATGGACTGCCAAATCCAAAGCTATTACGATAGAACACATCCCTAGTATGTTTAAGAAGTTGATATCACTTGGTGAATTGGACTTAAAAGCGTTTAAGTGGAGCACCGATAGTGAAATTTTGAATGAGATGGATGGTTTTCACATTCTCATGAGGAGTTCAAGGCTAAAAAATTTGTATATCTTAGAGGGTACAACGATCTTTAGAGAGGCACATGTTACTACATCTCCGAATTTGAAACACAACCAACTAGGTCATATGAGTGAAAAAGGTTTGGTCATTTTACACATATAGAGTTTATTGACAAGTATGAAGCAATGCAAGCTTGAATTTATGAGCATTTTGTATTTGGCAACATGCAAGAGCTGCATTTGGAGTTGGAGTGCTTAGCTCATAGAATATTCTTGATTACATTCAGATGTGCGGATATCTTCTCCTTCTCCTTCACACTCCGGAAAGGTATACTATGTAATCTTTGTGAATGACTATTTGAGATTTGAGATATGCGTGGATTTACTACATGCAATAAAATTTTGAGGTCTTTAAAATTTTCAAGAACTGAAAGGTGCTAGTTGAGATTCAGACAAAAAAGAGTTTGAGATACTTGCACACAGCGAAAAGAACAACTCAACAATGTTTCAATTCTATTGCAAAAGATCAAATCACTCGCCACCTCACCACATCATATAATTCAGAGCAAAATGGTGTGTCTGACTCAATCGCACACTATTGCAACGCTTTCAAAGTATGTTGAGTTTTTTAATTCTTCATCAAGGCGGTAGTTGCGGAGTGCAGCTCAACGTCAAGCTCCAGCTAAGTATGAAACTTAGTTTAACTCTTCAGTTATTGATGATATTGAAGCTGATGTTGAGGATTCAGCTGATGACTTGATCACGGAAGATGAAGATCCATCTTGTTATTTTGAAGCTTATTCTTGTAGTGAGAAGCAAGAGTAGATTGCAGTGATGCAGAAGAAGATGAAATCACTCCTTGCCAACAACACTTGGGAACTTGTTGAGTTGTCATGAGGTAAAAGAGTGGTAGATTGTAAATGGATTTAGACAAAAAAAGGATGGATCGATGAATACAGTTAAAAAAATCTTCAAGACTAGATTGATGGCCAAGAAATTCACACAATGCAAAGGTGTGAATTACAATGAAATTTTTGCACATGTAGCAAGATACTCTGCAATATGTTTGTTATGTGCCCTTGTTATTCTACATGATCTTTGTTTGTAACCAGATGGATGTTGTCATAGTTTTTCTTTTTTGGATATTCAATGAAATGATATTTATGCATCAACTCCAAGGTTTTCTCATAAAGCAAAGGAAGACATGGTATGCAGGTTGCTTAAATTGTTATATGGTGTGAGAAGCTAAGACTGCTTCTCACACAAAATTAACTAGATTCTGCAATGCTTTTTAGTTTACAGTATCTCTTTACTAGGGGAAGTTGACGAAAAAAGAAGAGTGTAAGTAAACCAGAAAACTATGTCAGAAGTAGGTTTGATAAAATTGTAATAACAGTAGTGGAAAGTTAGCTGGACACGGAACTGGTCTTCGGTTTTTTCTGAACCAGAAGAATGGATCAGGTAGATTAAATCCAAACATTCTAAGTTTAAATCTAGGTATCCTAGAAGGCTTGGATGGAGTTTTGTACGACAGGCTGCTGGCAGTTGAAAGCGGTGAACACGTAGTCATCACCTGCTAAGTTCTCGGCAAGTGATATCTCAGGTTTTTTTTTTGGTGGCGGCTAGGGTTTCAAAGACAGTCAAGCCGTTGCAGTTAGGTCTAGAGTTGTAGTATTTAAATCCTCTTGGGGATTTTGTTTGGGACTCTTCTTTCACCTCCTATGCAACCTGGTTCGGTTGAAGCAGTTCTTCTGTTTTCTGCATACAACGTCGGGCTCGAGGTCTTGCCGGTTCTGTGAGTGCTGCAAGGCCGCATCCGTAAGTTGGTGGAAGGAAGTCCCGTATTCAGTTCTAGAGAAAGAGTGGCGATGAATATGTTCTAGTGTATAGTGGGAGAGTCTTCTCATTGTCGTGTTTACCTATATAACGTCTGTGTGGGATAGCCGCTGCTAGTACTGGGTAGTATCCGGTGGGGTGCTCCGGGTAGGGGAACTCCGGATATACGTCAGTTCGACCTTCAGATGAGGTCCCACAATACCTGGACGGGGTAGTTCAGGAGATTGCACGGGGTTCTCACTTATCCTATATTGTACAATCTCCCCTCTGAATCTAGATCTGGATGTCGTTGTAGTGCTTAGTTGGAGTTCGTGGGGATCTTCTGCGTGACCTGCTGATTCGAAGATAACAGTCGGGAACAGTTGTGAAAAGGTAACCACACCTCTGTTTTTTTTTAGTTTTTATTTTCATAGTGCCTCTTCCGGCACTTTAATCGCTGGGAGGGTAGGTGCCATCCTTCCACAAGACAAACGGCAGCCTCTGATATAGAGGTAAAACTTCTATTCTATCACTCGTTACATTTGTTGAACTTGGTATCCGAAAAGCTAATAGTATCTGAACTGCACGTATAGCTTTGGTTTTCGGAATATCATTCGTGAGGTTTCAACCTCAGGTCATTTCTGTTGTAGTTTCGGTTTGTTGTCCATAAATACCACATCTGAAAACTATGTCTACTTCATCTACTTCACAGGATCCCCGGAATGAACACTTGAGTCTCTGTTAGTAAGTTTTTTTTTCCCGAAAATTTGCTAGTTGAATGCTTTCAATGCTATCGTGTTCCGACATATGGTTTAAAGCAAAGTTCAAAAAGGTGAAATAAATGCTTCAACAACTTCATGCACTCACGAGGATTCTTATGAAATATATTTGATACTTATGTTTACTTGAAGATGATTTTTGATTTGGCATTTGGGCTTATCATTCTTGTCTTGTATGTTAATGACATGCTTATTGCAGCTCCCAAAAGATCCAATGTTGATAAGTTGAAAGCTCACTTGAGCTCAACCTTCAGCATGAAGGATCTAGGCCCAGTCAAGATGATTCTTTGTATGGAGCTATTTAAAGTTCAGATAGGTTTGATCTCTAGTTAGAGTATGGAATACTTAATCCAAGGAAATGTACAATTCTGTTTGAGTCCCAAAAGTACATCACACTGGAGAAATTGAGGCTTGATATACATTTTAGCTTTAGTGAAGTTTTTTATCTCGGACGTGGACATAGCCCCATATGAAGGTCAACCACCTATATTGGTGTGTGATTCTTGTGAACTATTGTATATATGAGCTTGTTGGAAGAACAGAGCTAAGTTCCAACATTCTAAATCATATTCAATAACATAGAATTTTTTTTAATTAAATTCTTTCAGGAAATTTCATGAATTTCATTAAAATTTACATCACATGAAATACTTGTTTTTCTATATATATATATATATATATATATATATAAGGTATTAAATAATGTAGCATTATATGCTTTGCGATCAAGTATTCATGAATTTCAACACAAAGATCTATGTGTTCTTTACAAATATGTAGAGGTAAATTATCTTCTTGTTTTTATTATTGTTTTAATAAGATTAAAAAAGACATGTTTCAAAATTTCCACAATTTCAAATCCAAAATAGTCACTCCAAAGATTGAGATTAATTTTAGTTTCAGAATTTTTTTTAAACTTGATATTTTGAATGTGTGACATGATATTGATTTTTCATTTCAATTTGATAGAAAAAAAAATATTTTGTATTTTCAAAATTCATATATGTAAATGATTTTGAAATCAAATTATTTTGTAGCCAGTATTTGATCAAAATTCAAACAATTTTAAAAATAGATCCCCAATTCTCAATTGTCAAAAAAATATGTTCTCGATTATTTATTAACTCATAAATCATATCAGTCACATTTTTCAAAAACATAAAAAAATTTCATGAGTTTTCCAAAAACTTTGGGGTGTTGAAGTATTTTTTACATGGATTTTCACAAAATATCACATTTAATCATAAACTCAAATTCATATAAAACATAATACTAATCAAGGCTGTTGATTTGTGCAAAGGATCAGGATTTAAAATAGACATTTGCAATAATTTCTAAAAATTTGGTACAAATAAAAATCCAAGTATAATATTATCATTTACATTGCAGTGTAAAACTTGATGTATGTGTAAGATTACAAATTAATAATAAATGGAGTAAAATGCTCAAATTTGTCTTGAAATCAGAATATTAAATTAATTTGGATGAATTCAAACGCAAAATGATAATTTGAACATGATGTATAAAATAATATTATAGGTACGTGTTCATTATAAGCATATTTTATTTACAATTTACCGATGCAACTTATCCTATATAGGTACTTTTGAAATAAATTTTGAACCTATATGTTTTTTTCTCCCAAATTAAACCTCAATCGAAGCTGTTGGAATCAATTTATTCAAAGAATTGAATATAATATCTTCTAATATATTCAATGCTTCGAAATATACAATGTATGGTTCGAGCATAGCAGAATTCCAGGTGAGCCCATAGAATTTTACGTTACATTTAATTTGTGGAGATGTGCAAGTCATTGTGTCCAATCCATTGGCTTCCTGCGGCCTTCCACTTATTGGGTCTCATTGACGGTTATGTATCAGTTAATTATCATAGGAAAATATTGTATTTCATAACTGCCAAAGACACCTTACAGGTAAGTTAAACATTTGACGCATGTTGCTTAGAAATCGCGCAGAAACCTTTTTCTCTCTTATCTTTAACTCTGCCTCTCGAGTTGTCTTAGACAACTTGGGCAAAACAACTTGTCTTGCAGAAGATGGAAACCATCTTGGGTAAGACATAAGTCTGCCCGTAGCCTTTGACTACCAAATTCGTTTTTTAACTGCTTATCCTGCCATCTCCATTGTGATTCATTTTGTTCATCCATTTGCAACCAATCACATTCTGTACTTTGACAAAGGAGCCAAATCTCATATCTCATATGCATCAGATGCAGTCATCTCTTCATCCATGGCTTTCTTCCATTTGGCATCTCTAACAGCATCATCAAAGCATGTAGGTTCTACGTCTTGCGCAATCTTTGCCAGATATGCACAATGGTGACCCACATAGCTATCAATCGTTGCACCAGTTTCTTCTTGCCTGAAAATCTTCTCAACCTTTCATGCATGCCTTCCAAAGCCTTTTTTAACACCTAGCGTCTTCACAAAAGATATCTCAACAAAACCATAACTGAAATGAAATGAAATTGTAAAAGGCCAAACTCTTCCACCAACCAAACCGTAAGATGTTTACAGAAGAACATATGTTGTGCACGAGATGATAAAAAACATAACAGTTATAAAAGATCGATTAATAATTTTTTATATAGAGCTAGTGGTGTTTTTTACACGGATTAATTTAGAACCACACAAGAGCTTGTAATAAGTGTTTGGAAAAAGTGTTCAAAATCATTGGTAGTAAGTATGAATCTTCATCTATTCATCATTAGTAGACAATTATCTTTTTATTTAGTTCATAAACGAATATAAAAATTTGAAAATAAAATAACCTAAAAAGAGAGGAAATACGTAGAGATTAATATATGATTACAGATATATAGACCATATATCTGTTATCTATGTTAATGACTTATGCAATTGTTAATTACTTATGCACAAAGCTCACTGGATGTGTCAGAAACTGGCTTGGAGTACGCGTACAATTCAGTACTGGGAAAGTTGTTCGCAAAATCCGAACAAATAGGAGATGGGCTGTCTTACAAAGAATCACATGTTGATATTCGAATGAACACGCAAAGAGAAGGTTCCACCAAAGCGAGCACGCTAGTCTGACCTGGCAAGACATTGAAGTACTGTACGAATCGCCGCAGCCCATGAGTTCAACCTGACTGCACGTGCAGGGTGATAGACACTACATAGCGGATTTTCGTTTTAGAGCTTTCATCTCCCATTGAAGTGAAGACGTGCGGAACAAAAGCAGCGGCCATTCGCTGCATCCCTATCTTCACATCTCGTAGCTAAGCGAGCTTTTGACTTCAAACTTTATGTATACTAAAGGTATTTTGAATGGTATAAGGTTGGCACTTTTGGTCTCTTCTTGGCAATTATTGTTATCTACTATGGATTAAATGCTGGACTTTACATATGCCTCTCGGAATTCTGAATTCCATGATCCATACATCGTGAATTTTCATACTTTCAATCCACCAAAAAAAATTAATTCATGGTACAAAAGCATCATGGTGCTCTACGTACCTTTATCCAGTGTGATGTTATTGGGGCTATTCTCATGACTTTTTTCATCCATGTAAGATTTGACGTGTTTTTTATTAAATCATTCTTTTAGAAGTCAATAAAGTATATGATTTTTTTCAATTTTTATTTTTAAATCTAATTACCATTTCGTATTAATTTTGTGAATGAATATATCGATATCATGTAATCATTTAATATAATCTCATATTGACTTTTGTTCACATATTTGATAGAATTTTATATCACATTTTCTATATTTTAAACTATAATTTAATGAAATATAGCGTAACGATATTTGGTAAAAATTGAGAGAATATTTTTATAATTTATTTAGATATTTTTCTTTATCGAAATAAATATAGATAACACATACAATGATTCAAATGTATTAGTATTCTGTAACATTATCAATACGATTTCCAAATGCACGGTCAACAGAGACCCTATTCTACTGTACTCTTTCAAGTTTGTTTTCTCGAACTCGATTAATGAAACCATTCGGGTCTTTTGATCATGAAAAACATTTTAACCCTGTTAAGTTGGAAATAATAGCCGCATTTTGGGTAAAATACCTACTTGCCTAGAATTGAGTAAACATTACGTGTGTCACCCATCTTCTCATCACCCTTATCTCAACTTCAAAGTAAACTTCTGCAAATATTGTAAATATCTTTGTAATCAACACACGTGAGAGCTTTGGATAGGCAACATCTCGAAGGCTTCTTCATAAGTATGATGCATTAGGTGCTTTCTTTCTGCCCTAACATAGATGTACGTAAGCATGTTATCAGGAACTTTTCTATCCAACAACATGAATCCACCCGACATTGGCTATAGTTTACAGCCAATATCTTAACTAATTATCCCATTCGCATGTTCCGAGGTCCATTACACTCATATCCATCTTCCTCCAATATTTGACCCATGACAGTGCTACATGTGATTATAGTACTATATCATATTATTTTAGACTATGTTGGAACAATGAAGTCTAATTCATCACCAAGCACCAATCCCCTTACTCTGGTGTAGCCACAGGTTGCTACTGGTCTTCACAAGTTGTGAGAAATTCATCGGATCAGAGTCTACATAACGACACCTAATACGAATTTAGCATCAACTCGAAACTCAACGATAATGTCATCTGACTTCTCAGCCATCTGTCAATCATCATGAAATGTAAAGTTGGTAACTTCGTTATACTCTTTACATTCAATATTCTGATGCAAGACACGTACATGGATAAACGTGAAGATCAGGAAAGTACATCATTACATACCATAGAACGAACTCGTATATTGTTGATAGAATTATATTTTTTAAGCTTTCCAAACCACGAAGGGCCAACGCACCGATTTCCTTTACAGAACTCAGAACAGATTGTTGTTCATATGGATGTGATAAGATGGAAACTGGAAGAGACTGGAATTATCATGGACATTGCCAAGGCGGCTGTCAAACTTTATCGACACGAGAATAATTGTCTGTAACACGACTCTAGACAGCCTAATTCATCTGATCCAGAACTTGTAGATACAGAGCTCACAGGTGTCAGCGTTATTTCTTACGCTTTTTTTTTAGACTCGTACGTACCCCATAACATCACATGTCCTCAAGCGCGGTCAACGTACAGTTCTGCTCAGGCATGCCCATGGCCGCCCTCGTTTAAGTCTTCACTCATCACATGCTTGCTTTTTCTCGAAATAACTGCAAAGCTATGTCTGGCAATTAACCCGCGTTCTTTTCTAGCAGGGAGGGGCTTGCTCGTCCGAAGGTCCTCTCCCTATATAAACGCGAACGCGAACTCATGCATCACTACCAAGGCCAGCAAGAAAATCGAAGATACTGGGAAGGAGTTTCGAGGTTCAAGAGGTAAGATCAACATGTGCAACTCCTATGGTAACCGGTGCTGATGTCTGTTAGTTGCAGAGTGCCTCGTGACTGACTTAGCACTCTGGAGTACTGCAAAACATTCGTTTGGGTCAAACGCAGTTAGTTTGAGGAGTTTGCTGTGGTAGGTGATGGAATTAGAGATATATCTGTGGTGAGAATGACAGTTGTCACCAAAACGAGCGACAAAAACTGCATTAGTCAAAGTCCTGTATGCCGTTCTTGTCTTCTTATCATTAATCATCCAGAACTTAAGAAACAGTTTGATTCTCATGATGGCAACCTTTGCTTTTCCTAAATACGTAATGTCTTGCAAGCTGCATAATGATTTTAGTGAGAAACAGTATTATTATCTGCAAAAGTATATGAATACAATCTGTTCGTCACTAATCCCCGTCTATATATTTTGAGCTTAAAAAGGGCGTTTTGGTCATTAACAGAGATTTCTGACAGATTCTACGTGCGACGTGCTCACAGATAATCTGGTTCAAGATCAGCGCTCTAGGGCCATGGATCACATGTCGTTGAGGAGTAATTCAAAAGTGAATGCTTCGTACTGCAAGTATGTCATGAGCTACTATGAGTTCATACCGGCCGGCGACACAGAAGTGTTCAAGCCCTTGGCAGCTGATCCGGTTCCGAACAAAGGAATAGGCTACGTCAAGAACAATCTCCTATACTCCTCAAGGGACAAAACAAAAGTTTACGGGCACGTTGGTGGGTTGTACTTCTACCATACAGAGGACGTGATCGAGGATGTGGTGACAATTACCTTCTCCGAAGGCTTGGTCCGACCGTGGGGAGGCAGCTCGATCAGCCTGCGAGGCTCGTGGTTCATGACTCCAGACGGTCAAGCTGATCTTGACAAACAGGAGCTGGGCATCGTGGGTGGACAGGGCCAATTCAGAGGCGCCACGGGTTTTGTCAAGTACGAGAAAGTGCAGAAAGATCCGCAAACCGTGTTCCATGTCACTTGCCACATCTATGTTCCTGACTTCGTCGGCCGCGATCACGAAGTTGAGATCAACCTCAACGAGCTGCTCGAAGCTGATGCCAAACCAAACGGCTTTCACGGCCATGGTCACGATCAGGGTTACGGTCATGGTCATAATCATGGTCACGGTCATGATCGAAGAGAGTAGGGCGACTGCCTGAAGGTCTCATGGCTGCTAGAACTGAATCGGACTTGTCTGCCGTTTCGCGACGATACTCTCGAGCTGGTGTGATGCAGATACGACAAGCATGGAGTTGTTTTCCCGGACGAAGTTTGTGAGCTTTATCAGTCGGTATAGAATCCTTCTCAGTAGGATTATATTCTGTTTAGTCGGGCAAGCATATGTAGTTCCGGAAGTTAGGATAGAACTCATACCAGGCCTGCATATCCTATTAGGCTCATTTGATGTCATCTGCTTCTCCATATTTTTGGCTCGATGCAACGACGCGACGACCAGTGACACACGATTACATGCCAAATCATAGCTATTCAGATGGCTCGAGATAACTAAGACCTCTAGGTTTAGTTGACTTCGAAAGCTGCTGTGCCTTCTCCAGGTCCACCTGGTCTTCGACCATTTCATATCCACGATCCAGACCAGGGGTCTCAACATTCCTCCCGTTGAAGAGTTTGACGTCACTGATAGCTCGGGATCCTATGTGTCGAATATGCCTAGGTATAAAGTGGAATGATGTTCTTTACACAACATATCCTGACTATCGATGTCAAATACAGATAAATTTTCAGATTCTTCTTATTTTCTTTCATACACTTCCATCTCGTGACAGCCTCAAGTACTTCTGATTCCTTCTATTATATGAAATCTCATCAATTTCAAGAGTGGTCATTGATCAAACGAAGATACGAGTGTATCCCACCCTAGGAAAAATTACTGTATCCCCTCCTAATTTTTGAGATTATAATTACACAATTGCTCAACGAATGAATAAGAGCTCAAATCAACAATAATTTTGCATATATATATAATTTAGTGGAATAATTCTGTAGCAGATATTGGGTAAAATTATCATTGAACTGAATAATTTCTATATTGATTTTTGGAGATGGGGACAACATGCCAGTTATTTTGAGTTTAAAATATAGACTCTTTCAGGCATTGGAAACCCTAGAGGTCATCATACTTTAGGCACATCTACATTCTGAAGTTCTGGTAGTTCAAGTTTTGAACTATAAGATCTGGAGAACTTCAGTTAGAACATATTTATATGTAGAGCTCAAAGAAAGCCTTCAAACTAATTGAGTGGATGATGATAAGCATCCATATCTATACAATATATGTCATTTTTAAACTGTATAAGTACTTTAAGTTTCCAATCATGTGAAGGCAATGTCTTTCAAAGACAGCTTAGTCTTTGTGGGGAGGGATAGAGAGAAAAAATAAATTTCTCCGAGAGCTGTTTATTGTTCCCAGATAATACATTTTTTCCAAAGACTCAGTATTAAATGAAATTGTACCAAAACTGTAAACATCAGCCACTTTCAAAGCTGTAAGTAAAGCATGTTTTAAAAAAATTGCATTCCAATATGGGAGTTCGAATGCACTTCATATGCGGACAAGCATAAAGCAGAAAGCGTAACCAGGTTCGAACATGGTATTGCGAGATTATTGACTAGAATCCATCAACATCAATTTCTTCAGATGGAGATATATTGCCTTAAACCGCGTGCTTCGGCAACCCACAATCCGATATAAAGACCAGTGAAAGCTCCGTTCCAACTCACACTGCTGCCTCTTCGTCGAGAATCTCACGTAGAGATTCTCCTTCTGGTCAAACATTCGTCGTCGTTCTCGTCCTACATTGACACATCTTCTATCTCCTGGTGCCTAGTCAACGGAATGGCTCCATACAGTAGCTCTGCCATTCTCAACACATTATTCCTGATTCTATGCACCTCTAGTTTGCTCACTGCAGATACTGCTCTGCGTGGTCCAGATGTGACAATCTACATATTCCAGACCAATCCTCCCGCAGCTAACGCAACTGCAGTGACAATTTATCCACCAGGTATCCTACATCCATATCCAGTCGGGATCCCTATCGTCACTGAGGGCGACCAGCCTATCTGACTGACTGCTTCGGAACAATCACAAATTGTCGGCAGGCAGAGGGTCATTCGAGTCAAGGGAAATACGCAAGAGGATCAAGCCAGGATTCAATCAACTGGAGTCTTGGACCTGAAGATAAATGGTCGGCATGGGACCATATCATATGGTACCAATTTTCTTCCGTCTGAAGATCTGGGCATCACTGGTGGCACGGGAGCCTATGAGTCTGCAAGATTACTGTCATCAGTGTATCCCGCTTAAAGACAATCGTGAAATGGGAGCTGAACATTTGCTACCCAGAACTGTGCAAGCTAGATTCCTTGTGGGGCTAGTGCCGATAAGAAGATAGCAGATGAGAATCCATCCAAGGGGCCATTACAAGCCCCACGCAACGGGGGGAATATCCTCTTAACACACCCTTGGAAGCTGTGCTGGATATTTGATCAAAGATATGAGATAAAGTCATCCAGACAGTCGTTTTCCATAGTGAGTTGTGCCTTCAGAAACACCAGGATGCAAATTGAGACTCTGATTCAAGAGCATTTCTGGGCTGGTCAGCGCTGATCTTCATCGACACTTCGTCCGTGGACTTTGAAGCAGTTCTGAATCCAACCCATATGCCCATGAGATTCGAAACAATGTTCTGTTACCTAGAATAAATGTGGGAACTTCTTATTAGAATTCTTTTGTAGGGATGGGTTTAATAAACGGGTAACATGTGGGCTCTGATGCTGCATAACCAGAGACCATTAATAAATGCGGTACAGATTATCTACTGGCTGCTGCGTTCGCAAAATTAGATGTTTCATAGTAGACGGCATTTCAGTGGTAATTACAGCACATATTGTTTTCCTGTTCGATATATATCAACTTACTCGAAGAATTTGAAGTTTTCGATAAGAAATAAAACCCCTGTTCAATCCGGACATTCATGGTTAGTTCAAACTCTTTAGAAGTTCAAACGCGCATGCATAGTAAATGTGGCATCTGCGGCCATGTGACACTGCGAGCAAGCTCTAGTGTGTCTAGGGAAAATGGAGAAGAGGATGTAAAGATTTATCGCTACTTATTTATCAAAGAGAATGTACCTCCTTACCAGCCGAAGCAGGAAGGTGATCGTAATCATCGATTCTCTCCACCTGAGACCTGAAGACTGCCTGTACTATACATACTGCCTCGGCCTGATAAAGAAGACAGACACGGCGGTCCGGACTTTTGAACCAATCTACGTAAGATTGACGTCAGTCTGGTTGCCTCGAAACCCTGTAATTTCACCTCTGTATGAGTCTGACGTTGAAATCTCTAAATCGATATTCACTCCACATGGAAACTCACTGACAACATCATATATTCATCATATTATCATATTTAGTAACTTCGTTCGTGCATAGGTCATAACTTCCTGACAAGGTTACTCAAAGTATATTTCTTTTGATGCGAGGATGATGTTCTAAACGTGGTAGCTATCCATAATAGTCCTATCACATCTTTAGATTGAGTGATTATCTATGCCATGGATAGGTGACAATGGAGTGATTGCAACCGCAAGTATCTCCAATCATTAAAGTGTACGGAGAGTGAGCTCTCCTGTTCATCTAACTTCGGACGCATCGGGAACTACGATCTTAGACACACTTCAGATCTTTTTGAGCATGTGTATCGAACTTAGTACCCATCTACTAGTGTACTCTAGTAGATGAAGTGGTATCACTCTATTTGGCAGGTACTATATATGATAGATAGAAGACACCAGTGATTATTTTGTTCTTTGATATTTGGGACTAGCCCTAGTTCCATGTAACACAAGGGCTAATATATTTTATAGCTTCATGTCATATATTTTATTGTACCCAAGATATCAAACATGGGACCAGCCCCTAGTACTTTGTACCACACGTGGTTTCAAACATGTTGTGCTTGATGGTGTCTTCCGAAAATTTTTGGCATAGCAAGTGTACCTTTCTTGGACAACAAAGCAGCTACATTTTACGAGCCACTTTTGGAATGATAATTGTGTCAACAAGACTTGCAAACAATGGAAAATTGAATCATTCCCAATCCAGAAGGTGATGTGATGTTTACTTGGTTTCCTTTAAAAGGAACCGAAGCTCTCCCAGTGTCCAATTTTGCAAGTTCGCGTAATGTATCACAATATATACAAGTAGACGTGAAGAAGTGGTGGAATGCAGTGTAAGAACCGCGCTAGTTGAAAGGAAAAGGTTTGGTGAGACGAGCCAAGTGCGCTGATTTATACAAACCGTATAAATGAGGAAAGACCTGCACGTTGCAATAGTGCTCTTCTCGCCTCACGCTTCGCTACTTTTTACAGTCGAAGTATTAATCGCCGATGTTTTCATATCTCAATGCATAGCCGAAGTTATAATGGTTTCAATATCGGCTGGTTGTTTCAAGTATTTGCTCGCCTCGCTGTAGTTTCTGAGATGCTCTCCAGAACTCCGCCTCTCTCCTCAACGTCGACCGATTGGAAGTAGTCAACAAGCTTCATTCATTTCATCCTGTTGTCATATTTGACCAGTCGGGCCCGTGGATGACAAAAAGAAAAAGAACCATCAGACCGTACCCAAGGAAGATTTAATTGAACCATAAGTCCAGATACATTCAAGTAATATCTTAACAGAATTGTATCTTACAACACTGGTATATCCAATACTTTAAAACTACTTTATCTAGTCTATCAGATATTTTTAAAGTATCCTATGTTCAGTAGAGTAAAGAAATTTATGTTTTTAGGCCTTAAAATACGCAATGCTGTAAGATGAAGCCAATACATGCATTGATGTAGAATGAGATTTATGAGGATGATTGAGCTTATAGTAAAAAACCTAAATACATGCATATGATACACTTGTGTTTATAGGGCTAGGATCTTACAAATCCATCTGATGTTCTTATGCATTGTTAACCTCGCAGGCTCCTCAACACACGTTTGAACGACGTTTATCAACGTGAATTCTACACACATGTGAAATTCCGAACACATTCTCATGTAAACTATTAGTACTTAACTCATGTCTTGTTGACTCATGAGAGTGTTACTCTAGCTAGTATGATTAAGGGTTATTTTGTCACTATATATGTCAGTTATTAGTATACATGATGTGACATGATAAAGAACCACATATCGGTTTCACAGAAAAATGAAAATGAAAGTAACTTTCACATTGTATATTATTTTCTTTGATAATATCAAAGTAGCTTAAAGTGCGCGTGCCCGTGCATAGATAGAAGCATAAATGAAATTTATTGTCATTGTGCTTGTAATGACATTTAAAATTCATGTCTTTTTCTCTAATGTTTCTAAATCATTTGCTCACAGTATTGATATATATATATATATATATTATTGATGCAAAGTGATATGAAATATGTTATTTATGCAAAGTGATAACTTTTTACTCTGTATCATGAATTTTGGCTTGGGCATGTTACAAAAAAAGTGCATACCGTACCAACATATAAATTTTTGCATAAACATTATGCTATCAATATGCACCGCTCGTACAGCTTTGGTTTGTTGTATGTGGCGCCTTGACGGGTAAGCTTATCCTATTTGTTTTTACTTATAATATATTCTTAGTGGAATCGAAATCGTTCAATAGTAGTTCATCGGGAAGTGCAAACCATTGCAGTTTCGTGGACTTTTGTTGGGTTTCTCTTTCACAACATGGCAGCGGCGGTTCTTATCATCCCAACTTCCTAATAGCAATAATTGAGGGTCAGCTCGATAAGTTCATGTTCTGGAAGATGCTGGTCCG